TATGGAATAATTAATTCCACGTAGGATATGAGTAGGATGCTACATAGATATGCCACATGTCGATTTCTTTAAGCTATGAGGGTTTCAATTTATATATTATATAGATATATACATATTGAATTAGCATTGACTAAAAAAAAAACATCAATGAAGTGGTGACCGGTGAGGGATACATTTTCTCCGGTTCATTATTGACTTTGAAATCTCACAAACTGGTCTAAACTCTGATGGGATGCAGCGACGAATGCTTCGTTTCTTCTTCAGGACTTCCGTCGCCGTCGTGTCAGTGAGGTGTTGTCTGTAGAGTTGACCACCGCCGTCGCCATTGGAGTCGGAGTCGGACCTCAGTGAACCGGTTTGTTCCATCACCGACTCATGTACCTCCGCGAAGCGGAGGTACGATGAAAGGTCGCACCCACTTGTCAATATATGTTCGAGCTGCCATGATAAAATTACGACAAACCCTAGTGAGAATAATCGTAATTACAAAATGGGTCGAAATTAAAATTTGTAGATTTTGACAAGAAAATTCGTCTACTACGTGTGAGTGCGTGTGTTTTTTGAAGGTACATCATTTTATTTTTGAATTAAGTTCAACTGGAAATTCTCTTTCTCGTTTTGTTTCCATTGACAAAGAATCGACATTGATACGAACTGCACCAGTGATTTTTTTTTTTCGAATAATAGCTTGCAAACCATACGAGAGACGTGAACCACACTAGGTTAATCATGTGTGACAAATAATTATTTTATCGGCGTTTGAAGGACCTTGCACGAGAGCGAGCAGTAGATATACGTCGATTGCAGGTTCCTGCTGGTGCACGTTACACAGAGGTTGCAAGAAGATCTTGGTTGCCTTGTTTGAGCCCTCTTATTTATAAACATCACTTTTTCTTTGTTAACGATATTACACTGCACCCAAAATAATCAAAAATAAATAAATTCTTTGCATTAATTGTTTTAAAAACAAAACCCTAACTGAAAATAATTTCATTAACTATGTTAGAGCTTACTTGAATTTGAGCACAGTCGATTAGTTTATTAGCATCGACGAGCCTTATTACATCGCTATGCATATACCTCCTTATCTGCCAAAATATATTATGAATTCAAGTAAGAAAAAAATAAGGGTAAATAACACTTAACCCGATGTAGTTTGGGTATTTTGCACATGACCCCTTTATGGTATGAAATTAGGCATATAATTCCCGTGTGATTTGAACATTTTGCACATGGCCGCCTTATGGAATGAAATTAGGCATATAAACTCATTATGGTTTTGACATTTTGCACATGACCCACAAAAAATAAAGAATAATAATTAATATAATTAATTAATTAATTAGGAAATTAGTTTGGAAAAATCAAGAAAATGCATGAATGAAACCTGTATGAAACGATGCGAGGTGTGATTAGGGAAGCATTGAGGGCATATTCCGACGCAACAATCGAAACAAAACGTATTCGTCTCGTTTTTCTTTACATCTTTGTGAGTTAAGCATGCATTGAAAAACTTGTCGGAAATGAGAGATGAAAGCCATAGTGGAACCACCGATGAATCCAACTGCATAATAATATTCAAACAGATCATCAATTAATTCATTATACATGCATGCATGCATTAACCAGTTCTAGAGAGAGAGCAGAGTGTTTTATAGAGAGAGAGAGAGACCGAACCATATCTAATTATGTTTTTGTTGGTTTTAACTTTGAATTTAGTTTGAGAAGAATTGGTATATATATATATATATACCAATTCTCCTCAAATGGAAAGATAGTGACAGAGAATGAAAAGATATCTGCATGCAGGGAGAAAGATCTCTCTGTACGTATATGTGTGTGTATATATATATAATATACATGATATATAATGTATGTGTCTCTTTCTCTCTCTATATATATATATATCTATATAGAGAGAGGCGGCGCCTCCTGCAAAAAAATCTGAGATACACTTGAGTGGAGGTGGTGACGTGTGTACTTGGTGTGTAATCATTTTATTTCGAATTAATTGTCATTTTAGAGTTCCAACGATGCATTTATTATATTTCAAAAGGTAGAAGAAGAAGAAAACAAAAAGTAACTAGTATTTTAATTTATTATATATTTATTTTGCCTACAACTTATATATATTTTGTTAGAGTTTTATTTACAAATGTAATATATTGACAAGACAGACGTATCAAAGTTAATTATTATTTTTATAGTTTCAATGCTGCATTAATTATATTTTTTATTTATTTTGTCTGCTTTGCACGGAGAAATAATTATAACAGAGAGGAATAATGATTTAAAGATTTTGGATGGATATTTTGCGGTCTAGTCTTTCCAATTTCATATCAAATCAATTAAATATTAGAGTTCCAACAAAGCATTTATTATATTATTTAAAAATATAATTATCAGAGAGAAAATAATTAAATAAAGTATTTTGAAGTCTATTATATTATTTTCTAATTTAATTTTGGGCTTTGAGAATAATTAATTGAGCCCATATACTTAGTGATAACTGATAAGCTAGGACTCATAATATATCCTGTCCCTTGTACATTAATAACAAAAATCGCCATTAATGATAATACTTGGAGCAAAACACGTTACCGACGTAGTCAACAATAAATTAACTCGAATCACATCAATATAACGACGCAGTCAATAATAAATTAAATCGAATCACATCAAGATAATTCTTGAATCTAGAATGAATAATATGAGAATTGAAATAATCCTTCGACAATCTTCTTCAATTGGGAGAAAACGAGACATTTACTACGCGAAAAACACGTTTGGGCGCCGGATCGGAGCTGGGTTCGGGTGAAAATCCTTTGATGCTCAAGTCAGTTGAAATCCAAGAGAAAGATGAACTATTTATATACTAGATTAATCTAATTATTGTTTTGAAATATTAACTTGGACTTTAATTAATAATTAATACTTATATCTATAATTATAAATTTTGGATTTGGCTATTCTTCTAGTCCAATCACATCATATATAAATACAAAACAATTTACAGGGCGTAAAAACAACTGCAACGTCAGCTTTATCAGCTAATTTTCTGAGTTGGAAGATATGAAGATATGGCAGCTATTGCCAACTAATTAATAGTGTATTATAATTATTTTTATAAAAATAATTAATATATATTAATATAGTTTTGTTCATAAGTAAATACCGGAGTTGCCCCAATTCTACTGGTGTAAATAACGGGTAAATTACGGTCACCTTCCTGAGGTAAGGTCGAATCACAAACACCCCCGCCCTTCTCTCTCACACCTCACCCCAACTCAACTATGAATCGTCTTATATGTCAATCTTGCGGCGTCAAATTTAACTGAATCTTGTAGATTCTTATGTAATATTATCTAGTTTGTACTCGTTTTATGCAAACCGCCAGTTTCAGATGCGCTACAATGTTGTGATGTTTACAAGTCAAAAGATACATCATACGATCATCTCGTTTCAAGATGTGGAGCTATAATGGGGTAAAATGGGTACAAACTAGAAAATATGTCACATAATCTAAAAGATCACGTTAAAATTGACAACATAAGGGTGAACATGTAAAACGATTCATAGTTTACGAGTGCCGTTGTAATTATCCTCAAAAAAATAAAAAAATAAAAAGAAAAATCGCAATTTAACTTTATCTCAAGGCGCTAGCGTTTTAGTGAAATCACATGGGCCAACAAAAAGAGGAAATATTAAGGCCCAACAAGAATATTTTCAATTTCAGACTCTTTTGTATCCTACCTATATCGGCCCATATTTTTATGTGTATCAAAATAAAAATATCAATTATCAAATAAAAGCAATGGGCTGAATAAATTATAAACTTCTTTAAATAAAATAATTAAATTTTAAAGAATAAATAAAATATAAATAAAACATTTAGCCGAAAACATGAAGAATTTGGTCGGCCACTAACATTTCGCATGTTACTCTATCATTCATTCCCTCTTGTTACCGTTACTCCCCACTCTTATTACTCCACTTCTTTATTTATTTTATTAATACATATTAATTAATACTAAACTACTTTTAAATATTAAATTCAGCCTCTCTTGATTTATTGTTAACCAAGTTTTTTCTATACCAAGGTACATTTAAACTTTAAAATAAGAAAAATGAAATCATTCCAAACTATTTTTCTATAGAAAATGAATTTTCAACCAGTTATAATAGTGCACCGACTGGATTTTCAATTTCGTGCACTAACTTGCAAACCACACAAAATGTAAAACACACTAGTTATTTATTTTTAGATTAGCTTCACAAGAAAAGTATTTCTTTAAATGAAGGTTCTATAAATTAATACAATCTGAATTTAAAAACAAAAATCTATTAATTTAGCAAAATATTGAATTATCGAGCTATTAAATTAGTACGTATTTATCGTATCAGGACCCGAAGAAACTATTAATCAATAAAATCACTTTTTTTTTTAATTTATTTTTCTATGGATTGAAAAGGAAAAATAAAGAAATTAATTTATAGAAATATTAATTAAAAATAAAAAAGAATAGAAAATAATAAACGGAAAGTCCTACTAGTTCGCACGCAATGAATACTTTTTCACCTTTCTCATGAGGCGGCACTGCGGATAGGGTG